GAAGCCTGCTTCTCCCTCTCCCACTCCCCCTGCTTGTGTTCCCTCTCTCACTGTGTCTCTCTCTGTCAAATAAATAAATAAAATATTTAAAAAAATAAAAATAAAATAATAAAATAAAATAAAATAAAATCTACCTGAAGGAAATGGTACCAAAATGTGAAAATGTGTGTGCACTAGGATGGTCATTACAGCTGTGCCAGGGGAAAAAAAATCACTAGTAGACACAAGTGTTCAGACTAAGTAATCAATAGAATTTATGATAAAACTCTCTATTTACTGACAGGAAATGAGGTCCACAACATAATACTGAGTGAAATAAGTACCTGACTTACAGCCTCCAGAACCCCAGGTGTAATATATGCCAGTTACATAAAATTCAGACATTTAAGCAGTACACAGAGAGATGTCTAGAAGAATGTTTATCAAAATGTTAAGGGTAGTCTGACTGGATAGAGGGTTTCAAGGAAACTCAAAAAGAAACTTTCTTACTTATTTGTATTTTTCTGTATGTTGGAATTTTTCAAAAAGTATGCATCGTGTTTACAAAGACATTAAAATTATTCCCAAAGAGGAGAAACATTAAAAGTTAACCTCAGAACTGATCCTTTACAGTTGTATTTATTTATTTTTTAGAGAGGGAGAGGGGTTGGGGGAGGGGCAGAGGGAGACAGAATCCTAAGCAGGTTCCATGCCCAGCTCGGAGCCCCATGCAGGGCTCGATCTCACAACCCTGAGATCATGACCTGAGCTGAATTTCAGAGTCAGACGCTTAACCGACTGAGCCACCCAGGCGCCCCTTAAGTTTCGTTTTTTTTTTTTTAAGATTTTATTTATTTATTTGAGAGAGAGAGAATGAGAGACAGAGAGCACGAGAGGGAAGAGGGTCAGAGGGAGAAGCAGACCCCCCACTGAGCAGGGAGCCCGATGTGGGACTTGATCCCAGGACTCCAGGATCATGACCTGAGCCAAAGGCAGTCACTTAACCAACTGAGCCACCCAGGCGCCCTAGTTTCGTTTTTTAACCAAGTAAAGACTGGTACTCATTTTGGAGGATAACCTCCAGATTACCAAAGGAAGGTGTTTTTCACACTGTGGTCCTGGGTTATCTGTATCTGAATTGCCAATGGTGCTTGTTAAACAGAGCCCCAAGGCCCCTTCTCCTACCACCACCCTATCCCGGCCAAACCCAAGCAATCAACATCTCTGGGGGTGGGATCCTTACGCGGTTCCCAAGCACTCCTGATGAAATGTATGTATACTTAAGTCAGAGAACCACGGCCCAGGAAAGGAAAGAAAGGAGGATTAGCAAGTTCACCTGAGTTAACTCATATTTATGTTTATATACATTCTCTCCCTTTTTCTCTCCACCTGTTTCCCCACACCCTACAGGAGCTGAAATTGAGATGAGCTAAGGGCATTGAATATCAGGTGTTTGAAGGATTAAACTATTTAAGAAAACCCACAGAATGGCTGATAGTCATAGTAATCACCAACCCTTTTGTCTTCCTTTCTGTCTCAACTTACGCAGTGTTTGGGTTTTTGATGAAGCCAGTGTTTATGAAATTAGGGCAGAGACATGTTGTTTTGATGCCAGTTTTTTCTAAGGCAGCCAGTTCTTCAGTTAAAGCTTTATGAAATCCAACAGCAGCAAACTTGCTTGAACTGAAAATAAACAGAGAGAGGTCACAAAATAATTCCAGAAAGCTGCTGCATCTACTTATTTCAGATGTCTGTTTTCCCTAGTTAAGTGTGGTCCTGTGCCGAGCCTCGCGGCCATCAGATGAGTCTCAGGGTCCAGCCCAGACCTATCGAATCAGAATGTGCATTATAGACCCTCAGATAAATTCATAGGCATTAAAGTCTAAGAAGCAGGGCACCTGGGTGGCTCAGTCGGTTAAGCATCCGTCTCTTGATTTTGGCTCAGGTCATGATCTCAGGGTCATGAGATCAAGCCCAGGCCGGGCTCTGTGCTCTGGGGGGAGCTTGCTTGGGGTTCTCTCTTTCCTTCTCCCTCTGTCCCTCCCCCTGCTTGTGTGCAAGCATGAGTGATCTCTGTCTCAAAAATAAATCAATAAATCAATCCTTAAAGTCTAAGAAGCATTGGCACAGAACAATGCTTGTTACTTACTACTTACTACGTCCCAACATCACCTACTAAGGTGAGAACTGAGTAGGTTCAAAGGTCTTGCTAGGAAAACTGGCCAATGGGGCGCCTGGGTGGCTCAGTTGGTTAAGCTTCTGCCTTCAGCTCGGGTCATGATCCCGGAGTCCTGGGATCGAGCCCTGCATCGGGCTCCCCGCTCTGCGGGGAACCTGCTTCTCCCTCTGCCTGCCTGCCTACTTGTGATCTCTCTGTCAAATAAATAAATAAAATCTTAAAAAAAAAATTGGCCAAGTGTTTGTTTTTGCTGTTGTTGTTTCCGTAAGATTTAATGTCACTAGAGCCTGTTAATTATCTAATATATCCAGGAATTCCTGGGAAAATTCTCCTGGACAAGTCCTGTTTTTCCCTTTAAGTCTCAGCTTCATTTCCTCAAAGAGGACTCCCCTGACCCCTAGTCTAAATTATTTCCCCATTATATAGTAATCTTCAGCTTTTCATGATAGCCTGTTTAGGATTTGTGATTAAATATTCATTGGGGTGATTTTTTTTTTTTACATCTGTCCCTCATACTTTTACTATAAGTTTTGTAACTATTTTGGTTTCCAGTAAATCCCAAGGGCCTAGCAGTGCTTGGCTTATAATAGCTGCTCAATAAATATTTGTCAAATGAATGAATCAAAATGCATAACTATTCTTACTGTCACAGCTCCTTCATTTGGCAAGAGAAGGAAAATTAATCATATTCTAAGCAGATATTATTTTTCTAATTAGGTTTTTAAGAAAATACCTTTATTGAGAAATAAATTCATGTGTCATAATTCACCCATTTGAATGTACCATTCAATGGTTTTTGGAATATTACATTATTAATTTTTAAAAATTGTGTGAAAATATTTACAATAAAATTTGCCATTTTAACCATTTTTAAGTGTGCAGTTCAGTGCCATTAATTACCAGATTATTTTTCTTTAAGTCTGTATTTATTAGCAATTATACAAAGTAGTTGTAAATTCTTGCCAATTAACCTGTGCTTTGGAAAATACAAACCTGTGGAAAGTTCTCTCAACTTTTTTTTTTTAAAGCTTACACATACACTGAAGGCTTTAAAGATTGCTAAATTTACTTATGTAAAATGTAAACCTTACCTTGAAAAATGACACAAAAATAATCATATGTAAAATTGATCACTACATGTCAGACACTGTCCTCAGTTATTCAGATGTATTATTGCATTTAATCCTCACAACGACTCTGCAATAGATGTTACTATGATCCCCATTTACCAAAAGGACACTGAGGCACTGGGGTGGGGGCAGTTGGTTTGCAATCTCCTTGGGAGCTTGTTGGGTATAATGTGAAGCTGTTGCCTGCTGCACAGGGCAGGGAGGCCAAAGAAACAGACCACTCCAGATTGGTAGGTGGCAGGTTTAATAAGCAAGAGAACTTGGGAGGCTTGTCTTGGGCAGACATAAGGTGAGTAGATCTCCACACCCACCTGCCAGAATCTTAAAAGTTTATATAGAGGCCTTAATTGGGTTCAGTCACATATACCATCCAGATAGTCTCGACACCACATTTCTTTTTTTTTTTTTTAAGATTTTATTTATTTGCCAGTGAGAGAGTGAGAAAGAGAGAGAGAGAACAAGAGCACAAGCAGGGGAAGCACCCAGCAGAGGGAGAAGCAGGCTCCCTGCTGAGCAAGGAGCCTGATGCGGGGCTTGATCCCAGGATCTCAGGATCCCAGGACCTGAGCCGAAGGCAGGCGTTTAACCGACTGAGCCACCCAGGCATCCCTCGACACCACATTTCTGTCTCAAGGCTGTGTCCCTGGGGCAGCTTTTGGGAATGGGGAAGGCAGTCGGATACCACATTCCAAGGACAGGGCAGTGGGGAGGAGCCTCCAATTTCCTAGGTCCAGCTCACAGGTCATGTCTTTTGGATGACTTCCCCTACAGGGTTATAGGGCTTGCCCAAACACACAAAACAAAGTGGCAGAATCAGGCTTTAAATTAGGGCAATAAACCAGGCCTCTATATGATATACTCTAAACTTTACTGGCTCCCAACCAAGTTGAGAGGCAAATGACAAACTGGTAAAGCAGTTGCAATATGTAAGCCGTGGGTATGCATTAATACAGGGCAACTTTTTTTTTTTAAGATTTTATTTATTTATTTGACAGAGAGAGAGGGAATACAAGCAGTGGGAGTGGGAGAGGGAGAAGCAGGCTTCCCGCTGAGCAGGGAGCCCGATGCGGGACTCGATCCCAGGACCCCGGGATCATGACCTGAGCCGAAGGCAGACGCTTAACGACTGAGCCACCCAGGCGTATAGGGCAACTTTTATAAATAAATAAGACAATACTCCAATGGAGAAATGGCTAAAGGACATTAGCAGAAAATTCACAATATAAAAATACCGATGGGTATATGCATCTAAAAATGTGTTATTCCAGGAATAAAATAAATACAAACTAAAACAAGATGGAATTTTTGCTTAGCAATAATGGTGAGGATATGAGGAAATTTTTATTTGAGTTGCTTTTCAACGTACAGAATGTTTTCATTTTAAATCATTGAACTGGGAATCTTTTCTCTTTAAACCTTCAATATACGTCTAAGCTTAAAAAAAAGAACGAGAGAGGACTTTCCACAGTTTACTAGTTTCCAAAGCACAGGTTAACTGGCAGCGTTTTCTGGAAGGCAATTTGGCAAAAGGTATCAAATTCATTCAAAATATGCCATGCTCTTAGATCCAGTCATTCCTCTTATAAATATTTATCCCAAAGAAATAATCAATCATGTTTCTAAAGATTTATATTCAAGGTTAGTCCAATGAAGGCCAATAGTTGGAAACAATTTTAAATGTCTGGAAAAAACAACAAACAGTTGTTGTTTTTGCCCTTTGGCCTTCCTATTCCACATCACGCTGGTGGCACCCTGTACAGTGGCTGGATCCAGCTAGTTGGAGTGACCTCTGGAGCTAGAGCGTTTGAAGGCAGTACTGGGAAATCATGGCTTTTCCCCTACCTGCTGGTTATTGGGGGACATTACTCGGGAATTACCTCACCAACAGACAGAGGCAAAGAGCCTGCCTGAGAGTTTTAACTACAGAGCTAAACAATTCCTCTTTTGGTCCCAGGCAGTTTAAGTGTTGTGTTCCTTGTAACTGAAAGAGTCCTGACAAATGAACTGTGCAACAATAATGGATAAATTGCATAAACAGTGGCACACATGTGCAGCGGCATACCATGCAAAAAATGAAATGATATTGCACATGTATGTATTAACGTGCAAAATGTTCATTTAAAATTTTAAAAAGCCAAGATTATGTAGGCAGATTTTTTCAATGCTTGACTATATAACTCTATTGAAAGTGTCCTAAATTATAACAAATGCTAACCACGATTATTTCTGCATGGTAAGATTATTGGTAATTATTTTTCTTTTACTAAACTGTATTTTCTGATTTTTCTTAAGTGAACTAAAAGTGCACAAATATATTAAAGCTCAGAGTTAATGATGTTGAATGTATTAAAAGAACTCTGTATTTTTGAACTTCAGGGTGAATTTATTTTTAGAACTATGTATAAATGAAAGCTAAAAGTGAGTGGATTTTTTTCCTGCACTTTGTAACATTACATCAAATTTTTTATTAATAATATGAATTAATATTTCTTATCCCAATCATTCTTTTAAATAACATTTCATTATAAGCTAGTAAAAATCAGGACTTGATTTTGCCACATCTTCCCATACTGGTGACTTTCATGCTTACAAATTGGCTCTTTAAGTTGACAAGAGATATTAGCCAGAGTTTCATGGTACTTTTAAATATTTTCTTTTAAAAATCAAGATACTTTTGGACAAAATACTTAGCAAGCCACAAAAAACATTTTAGAATAGAATTAAAAGGTGAACATCTCTCACCGTGAATCCAGTTCTTTGATCATGGATTTTTCAGATAAATCATTTAAAACTGGTGAACTGTAACTTCAAAATAAATTGAAACATTTTTTTCCAATATAGGTGACTGGAGCTCTAATAAATTCTTTTGCTGTGGCTTAGCAACTCAGGCCAGTGGCAGATAAAGGCTCGATTACATGGAAAAGAATCGGGTAATTCCAGACCCCCTCTCATTTCATTTCAACATTGGGGAGCCGGAGCATATGGGATTAGTTCCACTGAGCAAAGCATTCTGGAAGCTAAAATGAGAGGCAGGACTTTGCTATTTTGTGTGATTACAGGAAAGTAGAATTGGAATGTAACATCAACAGGTACCCTCCTGTTATTGAACACTTAGAGGACTCCAGATTCTATACTAAGTGCATTACATTATACGATTTAAACTTTACAGCATCCTGATGATTTAGTTAGTTGCTATGATTAGCCTCTCATAGGGGTGAAGAAAATGAACCACGGAGGAGTTGAGTAACTTGCCAAAGGTCACATAATGTTAGTAAGTGATTGAGTCAAGATTCATAACCATATGATTCACAATAGTCCCATCCTGAAAACAACCCAAATGTTTGTAAACAGTAGTATGGATAAATAAACAACTGTCTAGTCACATCATGCAATACTATGCAGGCAAGAAAATGATGAAGCTGTAGCTACCAACAACAGCAAGGATACGCCTCACAAACAGCGTGATTCTGTGTATATGAAGATCAAAGATAGACAAAATTAATCTGTGGTGTTACAAGTCAATACAGGGGTTACCCTCAATACTGGGGTTACCCTCGAGAAGGAAAGAGGGACTGCTGGTTGGGAAGAGTTCTAAAAAGTGCTTCTAAGGTCTTGTCCTATTTTTTGACCTGCATGGTGGTTAAATAGATGTGTCCATTTACAGTAGCTCATTGAGCTGCACATTTATGATTTCTGTGTTTTTACCAATGTATGCTATATGTCAATAAAAAAGTTTGTTTTAAAAAGCAGCATCTCAGTTGCATTGCCCAGTTGTTAGTAACAACCACTGATAAACACTGCTTTCTGCTGGGAGAAGTCTTCAGTGTGTCTCTGCGAAAGCTCTATCATTGATAAGATGCTGAGCAAAAACCAGAGTCAACTGAATCCAAGACAGTTATGGTCACTAAGGATCACAGACTGCAGCAGCTCAGGCCATGTGCAGCTGAGCATCCAAAGAAGAATCCTATAGGGCAAGCAAGCTGCCGCTCCATCCCAAAGCCAGAAGTACACAAACCATTTGTGTGCTTGCGACCCTACCTTTCAGCCCAAACGGTGCCTTTGTGTGAAGAAGAAAAACCTACATCTCCTCAAGCAACTTTACGGCCATCTCCTGGAAAATCTTTCGAGTTTAAAGGGACCTGAATATGAACAGTGCAGCCTAGAACTGTGTAGTCTACAATCCACACAACTGTGTGTGTCGTTCCTGCTTTGACAAGACTCGGTGAGATCTTTTACTTCTGCTGAAAGCACTATCAATGGTGACCAAAATAAATTTGTTTCTCACGCAAAACATGTTCTCTCTTGATTTTCACTGCTGAACATTCAATGGAATAGAATCAAATCCGAATCAAAAGAGCTACAGTATTTACTATGGCAAAGAGAAGGAGGAGGCATGACAGTTTTCCCAGCCCTGCTGGACTCAGATTCTCTTGGCTCATCTGGATACCTGGGGACTAAGAATCTGGCAGGAGAACAGGGTGCCATGTATTAGCTGAGAAGCAACACCTGCTTCATCAAGTGAAGGAAGGCCAAATTGTATCAGTCTCAGATGGCCAGGGGACAATCACCAAACTTCCACTGGCTCTGGACCATAGGTCTGCTCTGTGACTGCCTGAGCAGTCCTTTCATCTTTTAGAAAAAAAGCCTCAATCCAAGTCTGTGTTGATTTTAAAAGCTATTAGAAAACAAATATATATTAAGAAAGAAAACAGAGATGGGGCGCCTGGGTGGCTCAGTTGGTTGGGCGACTGCCTTCGGCTCAGGTCATGATCCTGGAGTCCCGGGATCGAGTC